ATTTGAAGCGGGAGATTTCGAGGATTTGGTCCCTCAACCAGGTTGACGTGGTCCCTGTGGTTGTCGGTGCCCTGGGAGGCTTGGTGGGGGAGACTCCTCAATGCCTTCGGACTGTGCAGGGAGGAGACCTGGCTATTGTGCAACAGGAGGCTATACAAGGTTCGATTAAAATACTGAGAACTATCCTTAACATGTAGATGCACCTCTGCTGCGTTTGCATGTTCAATAGCTAAGAGACTTGAATAACGACTGATAAAGACTGATATTTCCTTTGTTACTACTCCCTTCATTGGTTGATGTATTTTGCCTGTCGCTGCAAATTCTTTATTATTGTTTTGATGTTGGAGTTCGGATTGAGTTTCTTTCCTTTCTTCCTCTTCCTTCAACTAGTTCTTGTCCCTTTGGTTTTTAGGTTTTATTTATTTATTTTTGTTTTTGTTTTTTCACTTTCTTTTTTGCTGTCCCACCCATGGAAATATTTCCCGGTGGGTCTGGCTTATCGCCTTCGAAAGAAGTGAATAAAGGAGAAATAATACGAAGTAGTGGTTGCGACTTCGGCGATAATTTGTAAGAAAGGGTTTGCTCCCCACACCGGAGCTCGCGCTATTCTGCCGACTTTACTTGACACTTGACTGACTCACGACTGCCATCCAGAGCACACGAGAAGTCCATCGAACCTTCGACTCGGCAAACCTGCAAGAAAGCACCACTCCCTGCTCAGGTTCGATGGACTTCTCGTGTGCTCTGGATGGCAGTCGTGAGTCAGTCAAGTGTCAAGTAAAGTCGGCGGAATAGCGCGAGCTCCGGTGTGGGGAGCAAACCCTTTCTTACAAATTATCGCCGAAGTCGCAACCACTACTTCGTACTGTTGTGCCCAGCGCGGGCTTGCGACTAGTTGGTTTGGAGGTGACAGCGTTGCGAATGACCGAGGGTCCTCGACGTCTGTCTCACCGTCCAGGAGCGACACTGACTCACGCTGCTATCTCGGGTGTTCACGAGGTGTTTGTCGCGCTGGAAACGGAGCGTCTCTGTAAGTCTGTGTCCCTGGTGATGTTTGTGCCTGGAGAGCACTATAATTATAAGTGGTGCTCTTCAGGCACAATCTTCCTCAGCCTACTCAAGCTCAACTGATGAGGGGTGAATTCCCCGAAACACTGTGTATTGAGCAGGGAGTGGTGCTTTCTTGCAGGTTTGCCGAGTCGAAGGTTCGATGGACTTCTCGTGTGCTCTGGATGGCAGTCGTGAGTCAGTCAAGTGTCAAGTAAAGTCGGCGGAATAGCGCGAGCTCCGGTGTGGGGAGCAAACCCTTTCTTAATAATAATAATAATAATAATAATAATAATAATAATGAGTATGACATTGTGCAAGAGTGCTCTTCACACTCACATCGTAATCCGAAGAGGCGACTTATTACATCATGTCATGGATCGAGGTACATTGTATACCGGTAAGCTGATGTCATGCACACGATCCAGGTGTACAAGGACTCAGTATAAAAGTTCATTTCTGCAACGCTGAATCAACCATCGTATGCAATCTTCTTCTACGCTTCATATCACGCCAGAGACGCATCCAATTCCCGTGGTGTTCCATTTATGATGCGCACATGCTAATTTCAAGGATCGGCGACACCTTGAGTGAAACGAACAGTTTCACGGACCCCAGCGCAAGAAGCGGACACAAGAAGGCGGGCCAGATAAGGGTGATTTCGAACAACATGGAGCGCTACGTATCGTCTTGCTGGGGGAGATTTCGCTTCTTGGACAGCCTTGCCTTCCTGAGCGCATCACTGGAGACTTTTTTCTTTTCTTTTCTTCTCTTTTCTTCTCACTTTTCATAAGCTTTTTCTTCTTGCGAGTTCTCTCTAGAGCTCTACTACGTGTACTAGTTGTTAGTCTAGCTGTGTCTGGCGTGCGTGGGTGTGTGGTTCGCGGGTCGTGTGGGCCAGGTAGTAGTTTTTGTTTTGTTTGTTTTGAGCTTTGCCCCTCTCTGTGATGCGTCCAGCCATTGCGTTGCTGCTGGTGGTGGTGGTGGTGTTGGTGGTGGAAAGGGCCGAACCGTTTTTCATCATGCTCTGACACACTCACTGACTACACTTTTGTAAGCAACTAGCCAGTTTGACCCTGGTGGGGTGAGTGGTTGCATGGGTTGGTCCTGCATGCATGTCTGGTCACGAGGACATGATGTGCTGGTGTTTTGGGCAGGCTTTGTACAGTCCCCCGAGTCCCCTCCCCACTGGGCATCCCATGCAGAAGCTTCAAGTAGGGGAGAAAGTATGGCCATCAGCCATGATCATGGGGAATGATCATTGTATTTTCATTCTGCACTGACTAGAATCAAGTTGTTTGAAACCGGGTGAGAAGCTTGTCACTATCGGATAGCGGCCATGGACAAGGTCAAGGATCAGGGAGTGAACATGCAGTGACGACGAATCTTGTATAAGAGGAGTCGTCGACTCGAGAAGTATGTCTACGGCCATACCACGTTGAAAATACCGGTTCTCGTCCGATCACCGAAGTCAAGCAACGTCGGGCGAGGTTAGTACTTGGATGGGTGACCGCCTGGGAATACCTCGTGCTGTAGACTTTTTTTCTTTCCTTTCCTTTTCTTTTCTTCTCAGTTTTCATAAGCTTTTTCTTCTTGCCAGTTCTCTCTACTCTAGAGCTCTACTGCGTGTACTAGTTGTTAGTCTAGCTGTGTCTGGCGTGCGTGGGTGTGTGGTTCGCGGGTCGTGTGAGCCAGGTTGCAGTTTTTGTTTTGTTTGTTTTGAGCTTTGTCCCCTCTCTGTGATGCGTCCAGCTATTGTGTTGCTGCTGCGGCTGCTGCCGGTGGTGGTGCTGGTGCTGGTGGTGGAAAGGGTCGAACCGTTTTTCATCATGCTCTGACACACTCACTGACTACACTTTTGTAAGCAACTAGCCAGTTTGACCTTGGTGGGGTGAGTGGTTGCATGGGTTGGTCCTGCATGCATGTCTGGTCACGAGGGCATGATGTGCAGGTGCTTTGGGCAGGCTTTGTCCCCGAGTCCCCTCCCCACTGGGCATCCCATGCAGAAGCTTCAAATAGGGGAGAAAGTATGGCCATCAGCCATGATCATGGGGAATAATCATTGCATTTTCATCCTGCACTGACTAGAATCCAGTTGTTTGAAACCGGGTGAGAAGCTTGTCACTATCGAATAGCGGCCATGGACAAGGTCAAGGATCAGGGAGTGAACATGCAGTGACGACGAATCCTGTATAAGAGGAGTCGTCGACTTTGAGAAGGATGTCTACGGCCATACCACGTTGAAAATACCGGTTCTCGTCCGATCACCGAAGTCAAGCAACGTCGGGCGAGGTTAGTACTTGGATGGGTGACCGCCTGGGAATACCTCGTGCTGTAGACTTTTTTTCTTTTCTTTTCTTCTCTTTTCTTCTCACTTTTCATAAGCTTTTTCTTCTTGCGAGTTCTCTCTAGAGCTCTACTACGTGTACTAGTTGTTAGTCTAGCTGTGTCTGGCGTGCGTGGGTGTGTGGTTCGCGGGTCGTGTGGGCCAGGTTGCAGTTTTTCTTTTGTTTGTTTTGAGCTTTGTCCCCTCTCTGTGATGCGTCCAGCTATTGTGTTGCTGCTGCTGCGGCTGCTGCCGGTGGTGGTGCTGGTGCTGGTGGTGGAAAGGGCCGAACCGTTTTGCATCATGCTCTGACACACTCACTGACTACACTTTTGTAAGCAACTGGGCAGTTTCACCTTGGGGGGGGGGGGGGTGAGTGGTTGCATGGGTTGGTCCTGCATGCATGTCTGGTCACGAGGGCATGATGTGCAGGTGCTTTGGGCAGGCTTTGTCCCCGAGTCCCCTCCCCACTGGGCATCCCATGCAGAAGCTTCAAGTAGGGGAGAAAGTATGGCCATCAGCCATGATCATGGGGAATGATCATTGCATTTTCATGCTGCACTGACTAGAATCCAGTTGTTTGAAACCGGGTGAGAAGCTTGTCACTATCGGATAGCGGCCATGGACAACGTCAAGGACCAGGGAGTGAATATGCCGTGACGACGAATCTTGTATAAGAGGAGTCGTCGACTCGAGAAGGATGTCTACAGCCATACCACGTTGAAAATACCGGTTCTCGTCCGATCACCGAAGTCAAGCAACGTCGGGCGAGGTTAGTACTTGGATGGGTGACCGCCTGGGAATACCTCGTGCTGTAGACTTTTTTTTCTTTTCTTTTCTTCTCTTTTCTTCTCACTTTTCATAAGCTTTTTCTTCTTGCGAGTTCTCTCTAGAGCTCTACTACGTGTACTAGTTGTTAGTCTAGCTGTGTCCGGCGAGCGTGGGTATGTGGTTCGCGGGTGGTGTGGGCCAGGTTGCAGTTTTTCTTTTGTTTGTTTTGAGCTTTGTCCCCTCTCTGTGATGCGTCCAGCTATTGTGTTGCTGCTGCTGCTGCTGCTGCTGCTGCTGCTGCTGCTGCGGCTGCTGCCGGTGGTGGTGCTGGTGCTGGTGGTGGAAAGGGTCGAACCGTTTTTCATCATGCTCTGACACACTCACTGACTACACTTTTGTAAGCAACTAGCCAGTTTGACCCTTGTGGGGTGAGTGGTTGCATGGGTTGGTCCTGCATGCATGTCTGGTCACGAGGGCATGATGTGCAGGTGCTTTGGGCAGGCTTTGTCCCCGAGTCCCCTCCCCACTGGGCATCCCATGCAGAAGCTTCAAGTAGGGGAGAAAGTATGGCCATCAGCCATGATCATGGGGAATGATCAATGCATTTTCATCCTGCACTGACTAGAATCCAGTTGTTTGAAACCGGGTGAGAAGCTTGTCACTATCGGATAGCGGCCATGGACAAGGTCCAGGATCAGGGAGTGAACATGCAGTGACGACGAATCCTGTATAAGAGGAGTCGTCGACTTTGAGAAGGATGTCTACGGCCATATCACGTTGAAAATACCGGTTCTCGTCCGATCACCGAAGTCAAGCAACGTCGGGCGAGGTTAGTACTTGGATGGGTGACCGCCTGGGAATACCTCGTGCTGTAGACTTTTTTTCTTTTCTTTTCTTCTCTTTTCTTCTCAGTTTTCATAAGCTTTTTCTTCTTGCGAGTTCTCTCTAGAGCTCTACTACGTGTACTAGTTGTTAGTCTAGCTGTGTCTGGCGTGAGTGGGTGTGTGGTTCGCGGGTCGTGTGGGCCAGGTTGCATTTTTTCTTTTGTTTGTTTTGAGCTTTGTACCCTCTCTGTGACGCGTCCAGCTATTGTGTTGCTGCTGCTGCTGCTGCTGCTGCTGCTGCTGCGGCTGCTGCTGCGGCTGCTGCGGCTGCTGCCGGTGGTGGTGGTGCTGGTGCTGGTGGTGGAAAGGGCCGAACCGTTTTTCATCATGCTCTGACACACTCACTGACTACACTTTTGTAAGCAACTAGGCAGTTTGACCTTGGTGGGGTGAGTGGTTGCATGGGTTGGTCCTGCATACATGTCCGGTCACGAGGGCATGATGTGCAGGTGCTTTGGGCAGGCTTTGTCCCCGAGTCCCCTCCCCACTGGGCATCCCATGCAGAAGCTTCAAGTAGGGGAGAAAGTATGGCCATCAGCCATGATCATGGGGAATGATCATTGCATTTTCATCCTGCACTGACTAGAATCCAGTTGTTTGAAACCGGGTGAGAAGCTTGTCACTATCGGATAGCGGCCATGGACAAGGTCAAGGATCAGGGAGTGAACATGCAGTGACGACCAATCCTGTATAAGAGGAGTCGTCGACTTTGAGAAGGATGTCTACGGCCATACCACGTTGAAAATACCGGTTCTCGTCCGATCACCGAAGTCAAGCAACGTCGGGCGAGGTTAGTACTTGGATGGGTGACCGCCTGGGAATACCTCGTGCTGTAGACTTTTTTTCATTCCTTTTCTTCTCTTTTCTTGTCAGTTTTCATAAGCTTTTTCTTCTTGCGAGTTCTCTCTAGAGCTCTACTACGTGTACTAGTTGTTAGTCTAGCTGTGTCTGGCGTGAGTGGGTGTGTGGTCCGCGGGTCGTGTGGGCCAGGTTGCATTTTTTCTTTTGTTTGTTTTGAGCTTTGTACCCTCTCTGTGACGCGTCCAGCTATTGTGTTGCTGCTGCTGCTGCTGCTGCTGCTGCTGCTGCTGCTGCTGCTGCTGCTGCTGCTGCGGCTGCTGCTGCGGCTGCTGCGGCTGCTGCCGGTGGTGGTGGTGCTGGTGCTGGTGGTGGAAAGGGCCGAACCGTTTTTCATCATGCTCTGACACACTCACTGACTACACTTTTGTAAGCAACTAGGCAGTTTGACCTTGGTGGGGTGAGTGGTTGCATGGGTTGGTCCTGCATACATGTCCGGTCACGAGGGCATGATGTGCAGGTGCTTTGGGCAGGCTTTGTCCCCGAGTCCCCTCCCCACTGGGCATCCCATGCAGAAGCTTCAAGTAGGGGAGAAAGTATGGCCATCAGCCATGATCATGGGGAATGATCATTGCATTTTCATCCTGCACTGACTAGAATCCAGTTGTTTGAAACCGGGCTAGAAGCTTGTCACTATCGGATAGCGGCCATGGACAAGGTCAAGGATCAGGGAGTGAACATGCAGTGACGACGAATCTTGTATAAGAGGAGTCGTCGACTTTGAGAAGGATGTCTACGGCCATACCACGTTGAAAATACCGGTTCTCGTCCGATCACCGAAGTCAAGCAACGTCGGGCGAGGTTAGTACTTGGATGGGTGACCGCCTGGGAATACTTCGTGCTGTAGAATTTTTTTCATTCCTTTTCTTCTCTTTTCTTCTCAGTTTTCATAAGCTTTTTCTTCTTGCGAGTTCTCTCTAGAGCTCTACTACGTGTACTAGTTGTTAGTCTAGCTGTGTCTGGCGTGAGTCGGTGTGTGGTTCGCGGGTCGTGTGGGCCAGGTTGCAGTTTTTCTTTTGTTTGTTTTGAGCTTTGTACCCTCTCTGTGATGCGTCCAGCTATTGTGTTGCTGCTGCTGCTGCTGCTGCTGGTGCTGCTGCTGCTGCTGCTGCTGCTGCGGCTGCTGCCGGTGGTGGTGGTGCTGGTGCTGGTGGTGGAAAGGGCCGAACCGTTTTTCATCATGCTCTGACACACTCACTGACTACACTTTTGTAAGCAACTAGGCAGTTTGACCTTGGTGGGGTGAGTGGTTGCATGGGTTGGTCCTGCATGCATGTCTGGTTACGAGGGCATGATGTGCAGGTGCTTTGGGCAGGCTTTGTCCCCGAGTCCCCTCCCCACTGGGCATCCCATGCAGAAGCTTCAAGTAGGGGAGAAAGTATGGCCATCAGCCATGATCATGGGGAATGATCATTGCATTTTGATCCTGCACTGACTAGAATCCAGTTGTTTGAAACCGGGTGAGAAGCTTGTCACTATCGGATAGCGGCCATGGACAAGGTCAAGGATCAGGGAGTGAACATGCAGTGACGACGAATCTTGTATAAGAGGAGTCGTCGACTTTGAGAAGGATGTCTACGGCCATACCACGTTGAAAATACCGGTTCTCGTCCGATCACCGAAGTCAAGCAACGTCGGGCGAGGTTAGTACTTGGATGGGTGACCGCCTGGGAATACCTCGTGCTGTAGACTTTTTTTCTTTCCTTTTCTTTTCTTTTCTTCTCAGTTTTCATAAGCTTTTTCTTCTTGCGAGTTCTCTCTAGAGCTCTACTACGTGTACTAGTTGTTAGTCTAGCTGTGTCTGGCGTGCGTGGGTGTGTGGTTCGCGGGTCGTGTGGGCGAGGTTGCAGTTTTTCTTTTGTTTGTTTTGAGCTTTGTCCCCTCTCTGTGATGCGTCCAGCTATTGTGTTGCTGCTGCTGCTGCGGCTGCTGCCGGTGGTGGTGCTGGTGCTGGTGGTGGAAAGGGCAGAACCGTTTTTCATCATGCTCTGACACACTCACTGACTACACTTTTGTAAGCAACTAGCCAGTTTGACCTTGGTGGGGTGAGTGGGTGCATGGGTTGGTCCTGCATGCATGTCTGGTCACGAGGGCATGATGTGCAGGTGCTTTGGGCAGGCTTTGTCCCCGAGTCCCCTCCCCACTGGGCATCCCATGCAGAAGCTTCAAGTAGGGGAGAAAGTATGGCCATCAGCCATGATCATGGGGAATGATCATTGCATTTTCATCCTGCACTGACTAGAATCCAGTTGTTTGAAACCGGGTGAGAAGCTTGTCACTATCGGATAGCGGCCATGGACAAGGTCAAGGATCAGGGAGTGAACATGCAGTGACGACGAATCTTGTATAAGAGGAGTCGTCGACTCGAGAAGGATGTCTACGGCCATACCACGTTGAAAATACCGGTTCTCGTCCGATCACCGAAGTCAAGCAACGTCGGGCGAGGTTAGTACTTGGATGGGTGACCGCCTGGGAATACCTCGTGCTGTAGACTTTTTTTTCTTTTCTTTTCTTCTCTTTTCTTCTCACTTTTCATAAGCTTTTTCTTCTTGCGAGTTCTCTCTAGAGGTCTACTACGTGTACTACATGATACAAGAGGGCGTCGGAACCGCACCGCCCCACTTTTTCGGCCGTTTTTTTTTTTTTTTTTTTTTTTTTTAGCACACTGCAACAAAGCCCGATGATCTCAGCGCAAACGTGGCAAATCCTTGTCCCCGATCGTGGTTTGTTGCAGAATCAAAAGTCCATGTACACTGAAATGGCACCAAATGCCTGGGAATGCTTGCAATTGGCTTCAATTTTTGAATTTTTTTCCCGGGGGAGGGTAATGTTTGTCCCCGATCGTAGCATCTTCTTGGTTTTTTGCAGAATCAAAAAGTCTTTCATTGTAGTTACCGGTAATTACCGTACACTGAAATGGCACCAAATGCCCGGAAATGCTTGCAATTGCCTTAAATTTTTGAAATTTTTTCCCGGGGGAGGACCCCCGGACCCCCTTCCATGGCCGCCCCACTTCCAAAGTCGTTCCGACGCGCCTGTACTAGTTGTTAGTCTAGTTGTGTCTGGCGTGCGTGGGTGTGTGGTTCGCGGGTCGTGTGGGCCAGGTTGCAGTTTTTCTTTTTGTTTGTTTTGAGCTTTGTCCCCTCTCTGTGATGCGTCCAGCTATTGTGTTGCTGCTGCTGCTGCTGCGGCTGCTGCCGGTGGTGGTGGTGCTGGTGCTGGTGGTGGAAAGGGCCGAACCGTTTTGCATCATGCTCTGACACACTCACTGACTACACTTTTGTAAGCAACTAGGCAGTTTGACCTTGTTGGGGTGAGTGGTTGCATGAGTTGGTCCTGCATGCATGTCTGGTCACGAGGGCATGATGTGCAGGTGCTTTGGGCAGGCTTTGTCCCCGAGTCCCCTCCCCACTGGGCATCCCAAGCAGAAGCTTCAAGTAGGGGAGAAAGTATGGCCATCAGCCATGATCATGGGGAATGATCAATGCATTTTCATCCTGCACTGACTAGAATCCAGTTGTTTGAAACCGAGTGAGAAGCTTGTCACTATCGGATAGCGGCCATGGACAAGGTCAAGGATCAGGGAGTGAACATGCAGTGACGACGAATCTTGTATAAGAGGAGTCGTCGACTTTGAGAAGGATGTCTACGGCCATACCACGTTGAAAATACCGGTTCTCGTCCGATCACCGAAGTCAAGCAACGTCGGGCGAGGTTAGTACTTGGATGGGTGACCGCCTGGGAATACCTCGTGTTGTAGACTTTTTTTCTTTTCTTTTCTTCTCAGTTTTCATAAGCTTTTTCTTCTTGCGAGTTCTCTCTAGAGCTCTACTACGTGTACTAGTTGTTAGTCTAGCTGTGTCTGGCATGCGTGGGTGTGTGGTTCGCGGGTCGTGTGGGCCAGGTTGCAGTTTTTCTTTTGTTTGTTTTGAGCTTTGTCCCCTCTCTGTGATGCGTCCAGCTATTGTGTTGCTGCTGCTGCTGCGGCTGCTGTCGGTGGTGGTGCTGGTGCTGGTGGTGGTGCTGGTGCTGGTGGTGGAAAGGGCCGAACCGTTTTTCATCATGCTCTGACACACTCACTGACTACACTTTTGTAAGCAACTAGGCAGTTTGGCCTTGGTGGGGTGAGTGGGTGCATGGGTTGGTCCTGCATGCATGTCTGGTCACGAGGGCATGATGTGCAGGTGCTTTGGGCAGGCTTTGTCCCCGAGTCCCCTCCCCACTGGGCATCCCATGCAGAAGCTTCAAATAGGGAAGAAAGTATGGCCATCAGCCATGATCATGGGGAATAATCATTGCATTTTCATCCTGCACTGACTAGAATCCAGTTGTTTGAAACCGGGTGAGAAGCTTGTCACTATCGAATAGCGGCCATGGACAAGGTCAAGGATCAGGGAGTGAACATGAAGTGACGACGAATCTTGTATAAGAGGAGTCGTCGACTTTGAGAAGGATGTCTACGGCCATACCACGTTGAAAATACCGGTTCTCGTCCGATCACCGAAGTCAAGCAACGTCGGGCGAGGTTAGTACTTGGATGGGTGACCGCCTGGGAATACCTCGTGCTGTAGACTTTTTTTCTTTTCTTTTCTTCTCTTTTCTTTTCTTCTCTTTTCTTCTCAGTTTTCATAAGCTTTTTCTTCTTGCGAGTTCTCTCTAGAGCTCTACTACGTGTACTAGTTGTTAGTCTAGCTGTGTCTGGCGTGCGTGGGTGTGTGGTTCGCGGGTCGTGTGGGCGAGGTTGCAGTTTTTCTTTTGTTTGTTTTGAACTTTGTCCCCTCTCTGTGATGCGTCCAGCTATTGTGTTGCTGCTGCTGCTGCTGCGGCTGCTGTTGGTGGTGGTGCTGGTGCTGGTGGTGGTGCTGGTGCTGGTGGTGGAAAGGGCCAAACCGTTTTTCATCATGCTCTGACACACTCACTGACTACACTTTTGTAAGCAACTAGGCAGTTTGACCTTGGTGGGGTGAGTGGGTGTATGGGTTGGTCCTGCATGCATGTCTGGTCACGAGAGCATGATGTGCAGGTGCTTTGGGCAGGCTTTGTCCCCGAGTCCCCTCCCCACTGGGCATGACTCGGGGACAAAGCCTGCCCAAAGCACCTGCACATCATGCCCTCGTGACCAGATATGCATGCAGGACCAACCCATGTTGTTGTTGTTGTTGATTTTTATTTTGCTTCGCAAGGCCAAACGGGCAATGGTGCCCAATTCTATGGAAGCGAATTTCAAAAGGGAGAGAGCTACGGGGAGAGAGGGAGAGAGAGAGAGAGAGAGAGAGAGAGAGAGAGAGAGAGAGAGAGAGAGAGAGTGAGATAGAGAGAGAGAGAGAGAGAGAGAGGGGGGGGGGAGGGAGATGATAAGCAATTTTGCAGCGTGAACAGAGCGATTTTGCAGTGTCAATAGAGCGATTTTGAAGCGTCAACAGAGGGAACACAAAGAGTTCATAAGCGCACAAGCACGCAGAGAAGAGTAAATGACGTGGTGTGTGGACGGGAAAAGTCAGACAGAGCATTCATTGCAAGGTGTAGGGGATGGAGGCAAGCTTAAATTGCTGGGCAGCCTTGATCTCCCTTATACTCCTTGGGAGAGCGTTCCAGGCCAAGGCTGCCTGAAAGGCCAGGCGAGATCTGCCGGCTTCTGACTGTGCCGAGGGGACAGTGAGGCCCCTGGAAACCTGGTGCCGGGTGGTGCTGCCAGCTGATGGTGAGAATAGGTCCTGGAGGACACTGCTGGCTTTCCCATTGACACAGCGCCACACCAGGACGAGCCGCTTCTGGGCGTAGCACTCGCGAACTCTGTACAGGGACATCCGTTCGAGCAGAGGCTGAGCCGAGGTGTGAGGCGGCAAACCGTATACCGCTCTCGCCGCTCGGTTCTGCAGGACCTGAAGGCGATCAAGCTGCGAAACCTTGAGGGAGGAAGAGAAGGCGTTAGACCCATATAGGAGGTCAGGCATGATGACTGACCTCACATACTGGATGCGACTACTGAGGCTCAGACATCTGCGGGACCGCCACAATACTCCAATCTTCTGCACAACTTTCTTCGCCATCGCGTCAACATGGGGGTCCCACTTCACAGCGGCGTCAAGGGTCACGCCGAGGTACCTTGCTGTTGGGCTCAGGGGAAGCTCTGTCTGGTTGCAGCGGACAGCGACATGCTGACCCGCATTGCGTTGTGGTACAATTGACAGGACCTGGCTCTTCTTGTCATTTAGAAGCAGATGTCGATGCTTGAGCCAGTCAGCGACGTTGGTGACGGCCCCTGACAGGCAGGCTGATGTGGCTAGCACTGATTTTCTGTGGCAGTGCACAGCAATGTCATCGGCAAATTGCAGAGATGGAGCAGGATGGGCTATGGCAGGGACATCACGGGTGTACATGCTAAACAGGATCGGTCCCAGGACCGATCCCTGAGGTACACCAGATGAGCACTTAGCAGCAACACTGTAGGTGGGGCCAATGCGCACTTGCTGGGTTCGATCGCTTAAGTAGCTGCAGAACCAGCGAAGGGAGGCATTGTCCAGGCCGAGATCGAATAGGTCCCGGACCAGTTGGCTGTGATTGACCTTGTCAAAGGCTTTTGACATGTCGATTAGGCAGACGCCTGTGGTCAACTTGTCGTCCCGGGACTTTAAGATGGCATCTGTTGCTACAACTAGGGTGTCCTCTGTGGAGTGCTCACGGCGGCCATGCAACCACTCACCCCACCAAGGTCAAACTGCCTAGTTGCTTACAAAAGTGTAGTCAGTGAGTGTGTCAGCGCATGATGAAAAACGGTTCGGCCCTTTCCACCACCAGCACCAGCACCAGCACCGGCAGCAGCCGCAGCCGCAGCAGCAGCAGCAGCAGCAGCAGCAGCAGCAACACAATAGCTGGACGCATCACAGAGAGGGGACAAAGCTCAAAACAAACAAAAGAAAACTGCAACCTGGCCCACACGACCCGCGAACCACACACCCACGCACGCCAGACACAGCTAGACTAACAACTAGTACACGTAGTAGAGCTCTAGAGAGAACTCGCAAGAAGAAAAAGCTTATGAAAACTGAGAAGAAAAGAGAAGAAAAGAAAAGAAAAAAAGTCTACAGCACGAGGTATTCCCAGGCGGTCACCCATCCAAGTACTACTACTAACCTCGCCCGACGTTGCTTGACTTCGGTGATCGGACGAGAACCGGTATTTTCAACGTGGTATGGCCGTAGACATCCTTCTCGAGTCGACGACTCCTCTTATACAAGATTCGTCGTCACTGCATGTTCACTCCCTGATCCTTGACCTTGTCCATGGCCGCTATCCGATAGTGACAAACTGCTCACCCGGTTTCAAACAACTGGATTCTAGTCAGTGCAGGATGAAAATGCAATGATCATTCCCCATGATCATGGCTGATGGCCATACTTTCTCCCCTACTTGAAGCTTCTGCATGGGATGCCCAGTGGGGAGGGGACTCGGGGACAAAGCCTGCCCAAAGCACCTGCACATCATGCCCTCGTGACCAGACATGCATGCAGGACCAACCCATGCAACCACTCACCCCACCAAGGTCAAACTGCCTAGTTGCTTACAAAAGTGTAGTCAGTGAGTGTGTCAGAGCATGATGAAAAACGGTTCGGCCCTTTCCACCACCAGCACCAGCACCACCACCGGCAGCAGCCGCAGCAGCGGCAGCAGCAGCAGCAGCAGCAGCAACACAATAGCTGGACGCATCACAGAGAGGGGACAAAGCTCAAAACAAACAAAAGAAAAACTGCAACCTGGCCCACACGACCCGCGAACCACACACCCACGCACGCCAGACACAGCTAGACTAAGGCTGTGTTTACATGAGAAATTTCAACCCGGGTCGAGTTCAGCCCGGGTTGAAAGTCTGTACGATAGACAAAAGAGGTGAGCGTTTACATGAAGTCAGTTGACCCGGGTCAAATACTGATATGCCGCCAAAAGTCCACTTCTACAGTCCTGTATAGTCACGTGAATCGGTTCGCGCGAAATTTGCATCTGCAGTGCCGTTCAAACCTGGCGCGAGATACGCACAGAAGTACGTTTGTACGATTTTCTTGACCCGGGTTGATTTCAAAGGAAAAGAAAAGGAAAGAAAAAAAGTCTACAGCACGAGGTATTCCCAGGCGGTCACCCATCCAAGTACTAACCTCGCCCGACGTTGCTTGACTTCGGTGATCGGACGAGAACCGGTATTTTCAACGTGGTATGGCCGTAGACATCCTTCTCGAGTCGACGACTCCTCTTATACAAGATTCGTCGTCACTTCATGTTCACTCCCTGATCCTTGACCTTGTCCATGGCCGCTATTCGATAGTGACAAGCTTCTCACCCGGTTTCAAACAACTGGATTCTAGTCAGTGCAGGATGAAAATGCAATGATTATTCCCCATGATCATGGCTGATGGACATACTTTCTCCCCTATTTGAAGCTTCTGCATGGGATGCCCAGTGGGGAGGGGACTCGGGGACAAAGCCTGCCCAAAGCACCTGCACATCATGCCCTCGTGACCAGACATGCATGCAGGACCAACCCATGCACCCACTCACCCCACCAAGGTCAAACTGCCTAGTTGCTTACAAAAGTGTAGTCAGTGAGTGTGTCAGAGCATGATGAAAAACGGTTCGGCCCTTTCCACCACCAGCACCAGCACCACCACCAGCACCAGCACCACCACCGACAGCAGCCGCAGCAGCAGCAGCAGCAACACAATAGCTGGACGCATCACAGAGAGGGGACAAAGCTCAAAACAAACAAAAGAAAACTGCAACCTGGCCCACACGACCCGCGAACCACACACCCACGCATGCCAGACACAGCTAGACTAACAACTAGTACACGTAGTAGAGCTCTAGAGAGAACTCGCAAGAAGAAAAAGCTTATGAAAACTGAGAAGAAAAGAAAAGAAAAAAAGTCTACAACACGAGGTATTCCCAGGCGGTCACCCATCCAAGTACTAACCTCGCCCGACGTTGCTTGACTTCGGTGATCGGACGAGAACCGGTATTTTCAACGTGGTATGGCCGTAGACATCCTTCTCAAAGTCGACGACTCCTCTTATACAAGATTCGTCGTCACTGCATGTTCACTCCCTGATCCTTGACCTTGTCCATGGCCGCTATCCGATAGTGACAAGCTTCTCACCCGGTTTCAAACAACTGGATTCTAGTCAGTGCAGGATGAAAATGCATTGATCATTCCCTATGATCATGGCTGATGGCCATACTTTCTCCCCTACTTGAAGCTTCTGCATGGGATGCCCAGTGGGGAGGGGACTCGGGGATAGGCACCGGCGGATAATGCTAGCATAATAACTAGCATAATGACCCATGTGGGGAAGACCGGCACTGCCCTAGCATAAAGCCTCCAAATGTGACCTTGTCTAGCACAATCGATGTGTGAAACTAGCACTACGTCCAGATGAAAGTGTATGCTGGATGCCACCGTTGCCAGAAGCGTGTTTGGCACTGTTTGCTGCGTTTACGGAGTTGTTCAAACTGCACTGACTTGTACTTGGAGCTAAATATAGCATTGTGAACACTTTTTGCAAATTTGATTTCCAAATTTGCAATGCTTGTCTTGAAGTTCAATGTCAATGATACGGCGAGTCTTTTCCAAGTAAGAACGGTAGTTTGCAATTATTCCCGTAGCTATGCAGAAGACGTTACTTCAGTAACGTCTGGCGCTAGCCAGGGTCCACACAGCTTTAATTTGATGTTTGTTTGTTTGTTTGTTTGTTTGTTTGTTTGTTTGTTTGTTTGTTTGTGTCACGCCTGGCGCTATCCCGTATCTGTCCCGTACTGTACCGTACCAGCAAAGACAGCTGGCCACAATACTTTTTGTTATGAACCCTCTAAGATTCTCTAAATTGTCAGGATCGTACGACCACACGGCACGAGGACAACTGTTTTCCTTTACACAGTATATTTCACTTCATCTGATAATTAACAATGAACACTAATAACACCAGCTATTTATAGCATGCAGAAACAGCGTACATGCAAAACATAAGCAGATAAAACTGGACATAACAGCGTATACAGCAAAATGCACACAACGCATATAGCGTATGCCATGCAGCAACATCAGCGGTACGGCGGAGTCGAAATACAACATTTCAACGAATACAATGCCATAAGCGCGAAGGCCTTTCCCAATTGAGAACTGGTGGTTTACAACATTCTCCCCACCAAAGGGCTTCTCACCGCCGTACAACAATGCACACAAGTCAAAAACGATCCGGGGCTCTGACTACGCGCCCAGAACGCGTTATCTCCTGCTGCCGTGGTGGTGGTAACGGTGCTGACGGTTCATACGCTGGCTGCTGAGGGACGATAGCAGGTTGAGCGGTATCTGCAAGCCCAGGAGCCACGTCCTGTGACGATACTTCTAACGGCACTAACCTTTGGATCGGCCTCAACAGGGTACTGGTACTCAACTTAACCTTGGCAACACGACGCTTACCATCTCGACCAGGGAATAACTCGATGATCCGTCCCAAACGCCAGAACTGTTTGCGCTTGGTATCATCGAGAACAAAGACAACATCACCCACAGCTAAAGGGCGCGACATGGTCTGTTGGTGTTTGTTCAGCTGACTTAGGTACTCCACCTCCCAACGATTCTTGACATGCTCCAGTGTCCGACTGAGGTAACGCAATCTCGATGACATCTGCGCAGCGTCCAGGGTACCTGCTGGCTTCTCTGACGACATCCAGATGTCACCCATCATCATTGCAGGGGTTACTGGTGGCTCATCCAGGCTATCAGACACATAAGTTAGCGGACGGCTATTCACCACTGCTTCAACCTCATACAAGAGGGTCTCAAGCTCCTGGACCTTCAGAAACGCTGTTCCCATTACCTTTTTCAAGGCACTCTTCACTGTACCAACCATTCGCTCATAGAAGCCTCCATGCCATGGTGCAGCTGGAGGATTGAACATCCATGGCACACCCAGTTTGTCAGATGCCGCCTTGAACGTTGTAGCGTTGTCAGACCTGATCCGAGACGGCAAACTACGTCTCGCAACAAACTTCCGAAATGCCATCAAAGGCCCCTCGTGAACAACTCGGTCTTCCGGCAACGGCGGGCAGACTTCTGAGGCAGCCTTAGCCTTGTAGCGGCGGCATGTAACACATCGCTGAGTAATGTTGCGTAGCGCCCGTCGACCACCGATAATCCAGAATTTCTGACGGATGAACGACAAGACTCCTTCTACACCTTGGTGCATCCTTTCAACATGCATTTTCTCCAACAGCAACTCGGTCAGATGATGTTTGCCTAACAGGACTGGGTGCTTGGCTCCATACGCCAACTCGCTGTGCTGAAGTCGTCCCCCGGCTCTGAGCACTCCATGCTCATCCAGAAACGGTGCAAGCTGATACACCTTCGACCCGGGCTTCACTGGTTGACCTTGCTTGATCAGCTCAAGATCCTCAGCGAAACATGCGGCTTGAACGATGCGGTACAATACGTTGTCTGCTGCAAAATAGAGTTCAGCACGAGGCTCAGTGTGCTTCCACTGCAACATCCGAGTCACCATGCCCTGTGCCCTCGACCATTTACTGAATCGGAGCCACCATTCCTTATCAGATTCTCGACTACAGGTGGTGGCTGACACTCGTACTTCTACACTGGACTCATCTGTAGCTGCGGTTGAGGATGCGGTGGGCCAGTCATTGGGCTCCGTGATCCAGGTTGGTCCGCCCCTCCAGAACGGACTACGGATCTGCTGTGCACTACTCCCACGCGACGGTAAATCTGCTGGGTTGTGAAGGCCTGGGCAATGGTTCCACACAATGCCGACCTTCTTCGATATCTCTTGGACTTGACTGACGCGGTTAGCCACAAATGTTTTCCATTTGTACGATGGATTACTGATCCAATGAACGGTAGTGAGACTGTCAGTCCAGCCATAGACTTGCGTGACGGTCACACGCAGCTCCTTCACCACAAACTCAGCGTAGCGAGCCGCTAGACATACTGCTTGTAACTCAAGGCGGGCTAACGTGGGTGGAGACACGGGTACCACTTTGGCCTTGGCAAATACCAAGTGCGACTGTCCATTGACGACTGCATACAAACAACATCCAAACGCTTTCTCACTGGCATCGGCGAAGGCATGAAGCGCAATCGGCGTGTCAAGATTGCAGCAAATCCAACGTGGTATGTCAATGCTCACCACTTCGGCCAACTCTCCCCACCATTGCGCGCATGCGGCTGCGATGCCATCAGGCAACTTATCATCCCAGTCGCCTCCGACTTTCCAGGCTTGCTGTAGCAGTATCTTTCCGGGCACAACTGCCGGTGCTGCTAGACCTAGCGGATCAAACACTGACGCAACACACTTGAGGAGGGATCGCCGGGTCCAAACAGACGGCCTATCGGACTCGCCTAGCGCTACTATGCTGAGCAAGTCATCACTGGTTTTCCATTTCAGACCGAGAACTTTATCTCCGGCCTCTGGATCGCACGGGATTTCGTTGCCTCGCCACTTGCGTAACTCCATGCCAGCATCCGTAAGCACACGCACGCTGAACTCTTGCATCTCCTTAGCTTCCGAGGCATTTGAGACACTAGAGACCAAATCGTCAACGTAGAAACTCGTGAGCAAGAGATCAATACGATCTCGCTCTTTGGGTGCAGACAACGCCCGTAGCTCCTTCAAGTGATGCTGAATCACCGCAGTAAGCATGTATGGCGAGCAGTTTACGCCAAATGGCAGTTTCGTTAGCCTCCAGGTTAACAGTTCATCGCTGTCGCTTCGACCGGGCCACAAGAAACGCAGGTACGGACGGTCTTCGGGATTAACCGCGACCATGAAGAAAGCCTTGCGGATGTCCGCTTGCAGCGCGCTCTTATATTCACGGAACCGTAATAGCATACCTGCGAGACTCGGCAATAGCGACGGTCCAGGGTCAACCATGTCGTTCAACGACTTGCCATCTGGCGCCGTCGCCGAGGCATTGAACACCACTCTTAACTTCGTAGTTACAGCGTGCTCGCGGAACACACCATGATGCGGTACATAGTACCCGGCATCGCTCTCACATGGCTCCAGCTCAATTGCTCCAAGCTCGCGGTACTCCCTGATCAGCACATCATCATAGAGCACACGCTTCCCATTCCTCTTCAGCTTTTCAAGAAGCCGCGTTGCGATGACTCTAGCTTGAGCAAAGTTATCCGTTGGCCGACGCTCATTTCGCCACAAGAGACCCACTTGGTACCCGCTGCCCTGGCGACATAGCGGGAACGATGGCAGGTGCTGATGTTGTTCTGGAGGTTCATCCAACTGCCATAGTTTGTCGATGTGGGCTGTGACACATGACACGGTCACCGGCTGACTGTTTCGACTTGGTGCAGACGCTGGACCAGATAATACATTACCTATCTCTGTGTTCCACACCGTCTCACCATTAACTTCCTTCTTGCTGTGCAGTACCGCGTTGATATAGTCTGCACCAATCAGCATATGTATTTCGTCTGATGTCCCTTGTTGAGGCTTGTCACTCAGCTCTACTCCCCAACTGTGCCACTGCGCAATGGTCTGCGGACTTGCGCACTTCAGGTCCAGCTCAAGCGTTGGTTTCACGAACGCGCGTACCCGAATGCTAGCGGAGCTACCCTGGATCGTGATGGCGTACTTATCCATGCGCTGTTGGGTTGGTTCCGCGCCGAACGGCTTCACCTCTACATTTTCAACCCCAACGTGTTCTGCATCGATTGCTGACACCAACGCTGCAGTCACGAATGACGCCTCAGCACCCGAGTCCAGGAACACTCGAACCTTCGCGTTTCGAGTTCTTCCCTCAACTCGTGCCACTCCGGTCATCAGCCGCACACTTGGCGAGTGTAGACAGCACGACCCAACATTCTTCTCCGTAACTATCTCAGTCGGTCTCTCCCGGCTGTAACCTGCTCTATCCAACACATCATGTAGTAGCAGGTGGTGTTTCCTCTGGCATTTCGTGCATCTCGAGCCTGACCGACATTCTCTGGCCATATGGCCATACTTAAGGCAGTTCCAGCAGAGTCTCTCTCGCTGCAGAAAACCCTTTCTCCCTTCCTGTGGCAGCGACTTTAGCTGCTTCTCTGCATCTGCGACCGATAT